TTGAGTTTGGTCACAATTTTCCTATATGTGTTGTTTTGTACCACTTCAGTGCTTTTGCCTTGGGAATTAAAGTTCATATTTTTTAGATTTTCAGGCAGCTTGTTACATATTTTGTCACATACCTGTTCAGGAAGCTTGTTTTCACTATGATGAGATACAATATATCTGGTCATTTCTTCATATCTAAAACATATAAAGCCACACCAACAGTGTCACCTTCTTTTTGGCAGAGTGCATATGGAACAAGCAACCAGTTCATGTTGCATGTGTAGTTTTTGGTTTAAGTGCAGAACTTATTTGAGCGGCTGTAGTGGAGACAAGGCCCAAAGTTGAGGCATAATGATTATCCCAAACAAAAAAAAAATTGTCTTGCCAGAGGACTTGGAGTTTGAGGTACACATTTATTGTTGTGTTGTTAATGTTTTCATAATTGAAAATGTAATTCTGTCATTTATCATCTTTCCAAAAAGGAAAAAGAAATCGTGTCATATATCAAGAACAATTTAAACTTCATGAATTAGAAATTGTAATGAAGTAAATAATTGAAGTGAATCTTTGCTTGTACGTTGGTATCAGAATAACCATCATTTTCAAATTTACGTCAATATGACCACTGAACTACTTAAATGGGTTCAATATAGCCAATAGCCGATAGTATTTGACAGAAGCAACGATGTGACAGTTAACAAATTGGTACAGTTATACATTTAATCCTCAATACTTATACATTCTCTCAATTTGATCCTAATTTTAATTCAATCCAATCAGAAGATGACAATGAATTTCTCTCATGATTAACCTCTAAAGCTGAAACTTGCTCAATTGATATGTTGCCTGATATAACTAGGTACAGATTGAGACCATGGATGGATATTCGAGATTGCCGCCAAATGTTACGGATCCATCTTCCACACTTGCATGATACTCTCTGAAAATGCAACTATCCTCGGTTTTAATTTGATTTGGCAAAATGGTTCCATCATTTACCCTGTCACCTTTTTTGTTTGTTGAAAGAGTTACCCTGCCACTTTCATGTGGAGGTGATGATGCTGTTTTTTCTCTACATGAACATACACAATGGAAACCTTTGTTTTCACCAGAAATGAACCATCAAGCTTGATTTTACCTTCCTTCTATGGGCCGATAAAAAACTTGCCTTCTTTAGATCCTAGAGGTGACATCTAGCAGGTTCGGAATTTGAATATCGAAATTTCCCCATCTCTATCCCCACATTGCGGCCTCTTCTATTAGGAGTGCAATCACTAGCATGGTACTAAATTGCGGTAGCGGCTATCGCACTGTGGTTGCGAGGGTTGCGGATGTTACTGCATTATTTTTTTTCTTAAAAATAACTATGTTTTATGTTGCGGATGTAGTTTGCAGTGTTACGGTGACCTTGAAAAAGTGTTACGATACAGAGCTAAGTGTCCCAGTCGGTCACCAAAATCATTTTTTTCCTGGTTGAAGAAGCACAATCAACTATTGTATTGAACTGGTTCATGAATAAAACCAGGAAAATTAATACAATCAATATAGCAACTTTTAACTGTGCTTGCAGTTGGCCAAGTGAAATAAAGACCCCATAAACCAAATATATGATTATGTTTACAAGGTATAATTAAACTGCAAAAAAAAACACTTTTATTAGGAATATAAATGTATGTACAAGAAGAGCCTTGCTCTCTGAATTGTAAAAGCTACAGCCAAGAGCCCAACATACAGGGTCTGCTACTGCTAATATATAAACTGCTAACACAGACTAACTTGTGGGAACGAAGGACTTCCAATGCCTGACTGGGCACTGGACTTCCAATATGTTAATCAATAAATTTTAATGAAAATGATCAATTATTTAATTATATAATTAATCATTGATTTGGTTGGTCATAGTACCTAATGACGAATTGTATGATTGATAATTATTAGGGCGGATTATGCGTTTAAAACCTAAACTATCAGTTCTACTCCGTTTTAGTACCTAAACTTTCATTTTTTTTCTTCAAAATCATACATAAAGTTCAGTCTTTGTTTTATTTTAGTATATCCGTTCAAAATTTTTGAAAACAATTGAAAGTTTAGGTACTTGAAACGGACCAAAATTGATAGTTTAGATACTAAATGCGTTAAGTTTTTAATGGCGATGTACTAAAATAGAACAAAAACTAAACATTAAGTATGATTTTGAAAAAATTGAAAATTTTAATATTAGAAGAGACAAAAACTGATAGTTTAGATACTAAATGCGTAGTTCACCCTGTTATTTACGTAATGAGAGAAAAAGAGAATCGACCAGAATTGGGACCACTTTGTAAATTGATTAGCGAATTTGGGAGAGAAGGCAGGAATTTTGGATTGGTACATAAAACGTACATTTGTTCTTATTTTATACTGCATTTTTTTACTACATTTTGCAATTTAAATTTTAAATATCATAAACAGCTATATGTTTTTTTTTTAATTTTCAATATTCCTCCAAAATACGTATAAATCCGAGAGTAAATGAGTGAATAAATATTCATTAAAAAATCAAGTAAATGATTTTAAATCATTAGAGGACATAGTACAATTCATAATGTCAAATCTCCCTTGATTTTTTTCCCTCTTTTATAATTCAGGTTGGCTATTGTGAAAGGTGATCTCCCAATGACAAAGCTATAGAATTTGCAATGAGAAAATAACCTCACTGATCGAAAATGTCTTATAATATACGATTTTAATCAAATTTTTTTTGGATTTACTAAAATGACCAACAAAATCGTAACGCGATCTTGAATTAGCAACGCTAATTCCAATTTCGCAACTCATTTTCTAAAATCGCAGCGTGAATAGTAAAAATCGTAATGTGAATAGTAAAATCGTAACATAAATAGTAAAATCGCAATGTGAATAGTAAAATCGCAACGTGAATAGTAAAATTGCAACGCGAATTTAGAAAATCGCGTTGCGAATTTCAAATGGTAACTCTCTGTTTCTAGACTGAGATTTTAAGTGGAAAATAAAACTTATCTACATGTGTACAGGAATCAACTTTTTCTTAATATGATTCAAAATTTAATTTTTTAAATGTATTTCATTAGTCTGAGTTAAGGATTCTTTCAAATTTCAAACTTTAATTAATTGAATTTAGAATAATTTGTAATGAAGATTGACAATGAAATAGATTTGTTGTTCATTTACATATAAATTTTTTCACATGTACGAATATTTTTTATAAAAATTATTTATGTATTTTTTTCAACAAATTATTATAAATAGATGATAAGAGATAATTTACATATAGATTCGTTGCGATTTTACTATTCACGTTGCGATTTTTACTATTCACGTTGCGATTTTACTATTCACGTTGCGAAATTGGAGTTCTCGTTGCGAATTTGACTTATGTGTTACGATTTACAAATTCGCGTTGCGAATTTGACTATTGAGTTGCGAATTTGATTATCGTGTTGCGAATTTGACTTTTGTGTTGCGAATTTGACTTATGTGTTGCAATTTACATATTCGCGTTGCGAAATTGGAAACTGCGTTGTAAAATTGGAGTTCACGTTTCGAATTTGTTGGTCATTTTGGCAAATCAAAAAAAAAATTGGTTAAAATCGTATATTATAAGACATTTTCGGTCATTTAGGTTATTTTCTCATTTGCAATTCCTTTACCGGAGAACAATGCTTTCATATAACACCAACAAATGTCTCGACTCACGGAGTCCAGAGTCCTTGACATCGAATTTTAAGAGAATTTAACTCGAGAGAGTAAATGGACATAAAGCTCTCGCTTATAGCTACTACCAACCAAACCAACTCCATCAAAGAACTCTGACTGATAATTTCTGTACACTTATTGGTGCGGCGAATAAATAAGCGGGCAGACCCATCAATCAGAATAACAAGAGCTTGTTTATCCATTGTGCATGGTGCTGTACATGGAAAGGATGGAGCCACTCCTCAAAGTGACATGCATGCCATGCCATGCCATGCCATCTCTTCTGATGGTCAAAGCATCCTTGTTTCCTTGTCAGTACTAGAGTAGTCCACCCCGGAATCACCTAAAAGAGAAACCCATTCGTGAGAAAAGTTTATCTCGATCAGGTAAACAGGTTCCAGACCCGAAATATGATACTCTAGGAATGAAATCTTACTGTGGAATGAGTCCGTTGATGACTGCCTTTCTGGTCCGAACTCCTTTATATCTGCAGCAGTTGAATGGATGACAAGAAATTCCGCGATTGGAAGCCAGACAAACTAGAATAGCATTTAAAACAACACATTGAGATGCTGCAACACGATTCGAATGAATGGTGGCCTTCTTTCCTTGACTTGCTAAGCTAAAAAGACTATCATCTAACAGAAACAGTATGTGGTATGAATAAACCGAGTAGCCTTTGTAAAGTTCATCTATTCAATTGCAGCGGAAACATCCCTTATGTTTAAAAGTACCTTGCAGCTCAGATTAATGAAATATTCAGAAGAAGCATTTTACTCCAAGGAAGACTAACAATACTAGCAAAGAAAGAGTTTTGTATTAGCCTGCTAACAGCTGAAGGGAAACGTAATTCGATAGAGGTTATGCAAAGTAAGAAATAATATACAACAGTGTCCTCAAATGTGAACGTTTATAACCAGCTACGTAGGTCACTGCATCAAAGGATTTGTAAGTTTTGATTAAAAAATAATCAACATAATAAAGGGAAACAATCCTAATAAATGTAATTACAAATTATGAAATCAAAGATTTGACAAGAAAAGAGGCAGTTATGGTAACACTCAAGGAACAAAGAATCTCATACCAAAAGAATGGCGTAACCCTTTAACAGCCTCAAAATTCTTGTATGTATAGCCCACAAAGTTAAGATCTTTAGGAGCTAAAAACGTCTGTCGAGAAGGTCAGAAATGAGAATGGTAAGTTATTCAAAGTTCAAAATTAAGATCTTGGACTAAACTTTTGAATATTCACATCAAAACAATGGTTAAGTTATTCAAAGTTCAAATTGCATTCATAGGTGCCTTCTTTAATGGCCCAGATCCTGTTCTTGGAATGTCCACCTGTGATACAGTCAGAATTTTCTCACCAGTAGTCCCCAATAAAAAATTGTTAAATATCTGGAAAGCATGAACGTGACTCATAATAACTTACCTCATCAAATTTCATAAAATTCTGAGAATCAAGCTCTCCCTCAACATGTGGTTTAAATGCCGCGTCCATTTCATAGAGTTTGTCCCATTATCTTTGAACCAAGGATGGGCCTAATATACTCATTGTTATCATGTCGGATTAAAATGTAGAGGAAAATGGGAACCAACTATTTTGGTATTCTCAGAAATTACTATAATTTGATCTGCTCCCAAGGTACCAAGCCTATGGTCAACATCACAAAGCAATTTACATATCAAATCCTTTGCTTCGGGTGTCAGCCTTGTTTCTTCTGGAAATTTCAAATGATTTTTCCAGTGCACAATCTGGACATTTCAATGCAAGTATTTAATTGTTTATAAGAGGTCTGAGAGGTAAAGAATTCATATGAAACACTTAACACTATAAACTAATTTAATATCACACTCAACATCACAACACAAAATTGTACAAAATGAATTGAATTTCTCGAATACTAACTAAACCTTAAATCATTGTTAAGACTACCAAAAGAACAGAAAGAAGCACGACACGATGAGGCAGACAAGATCTTTAATGAGGTTATGAAGAAGGGAACATGAACATTTGAAATAGGATAATTGAAGTTAAAAGCTAATTCCCCGTGGATCAACTCAAAATAGCAGAAAAGTTTGGAAACGAAGTTTTAAACCATATAAAACCTTTCTGCATGTCGTCACTGGATCATCGGAGTAAAATGGAGGATAACCAACAAGCATTTCATACATGATAGCACCAAGTGACCACCTGAAACAGGTTAATTGATGACAATTTATTGAAGGAAAAACCCAATTACCTTATCCATTATGATTATATAAAATGCATAGCACAATTTATTCAAAAGATCTCTGTTAAGTCTATTCAGTTATTGCATGGGGAAGTCATCAGAGAGCACCTTGTATATCCAAATGGAAGCTTACTTTAGATCACTCTCTAACCACTTTTTCACATTAAATTCTAATATATCTTGAAAATAAAAAATAAAAGGAATATTCTTCTTGGTTTAAATAAAATTTCTTTTTTAGCAAAAATGATTTTGTTTCATAGGCATTTTCAGACCTTGGTGAAATTAAAAAAAAGGAATAAGACCAGCATAAAATTTGAAGTCCACATTCAGTTAAAAACATAAGGGGAGAAAAAGCAGAAGAAGAATGAAAAAAATGACAAAAACCGGACATAAATTTTACAAATCTCATGACAAAGTATCATTCATCCCAAGTCATACCAGTCGCACTCCATGCCATATCCTTTCTTCAGCAGTACTTCAGGGGCAATATAATCTGGGGTTCCAACCGTTGAAAATGCCTGCCATTGAAACCCAAAGAGAACAACCGAACGATAATTGCCAGAATAAATAATTCTGTGTATTACTTGATTCCTTCCAAAAATTCACTTAAAAGGATGCAGCCTCTAACAAGGCATACTAGCAACAGAACAAAAACGGATAAAAGATAGGCTTAATCCTAAAGTTCAATTCATTAATATCTAAAAAGACGTCAAATAAATGGGGCTATAACTTAGGTTTATGTAACTTCAGCAAATACACTTGCTGATTCACTGTACGATCCATAGGAGTTTAAACCTAATTACCCAGCATGTTTATGGCCCTTCCATCTTTGCGACAAACATTTGACTTATTAACGAAACCTTAAAATGATAATGTCTGGTACAAACACTCTCACCATCGCTCCATGCATAGCGACAAATTTATTTTAATCCATTATGACATTATCATCTCTGAGTTTAGATTATGGGATTCTCAGAAATGAGATCACTAAACATGCTTCCGTATACATGCATTCACACATCAGAGTGATAACATGTAACTTAACAAAAAGAAAGTATGGTAGTACCAATTTCCTTCTATTAAGCTGCCAGTGCTGCAATTGTTCTAGGGGATTTTTCCAGCGCCTTCCTTTACCAGAATCAAAATCCATTGATTCATTTAAATTCTCGTCATCAAGAGTTTCAGTTTCATTTATAGACGATAAATTTCTACAGTCTAGAGGATTGCAAAGACCAAAATCCGACAGCTTCAAATGACCATTTTTGTCCAACAGAAGATTATCAGGTTTGAGGTCTCTGGAGCAAGGGAAACAAGCACAAGTTTGTCAGATATTGATAAAATTCACAAGAGCTACTGCATGTCAGAAATTACACGGCCTTAATAATATTCCACATTTACACTACCCAATGTTCTGTTGGTAACAAACAGAAGGCTACTAACCTGTGAATGTAATTATGCTTATGAATAGATTCAATGGCAAGAACACTTTGTGCAATGTAAAATCTAGCCACTGTCTCAGTTAGAGTGTCTTCTCTCATTAGCAAAGTCATCATGTCACCACCAGGCAGATACTCCATGATTAGATATAGATACTCAGCATCTTGAAATGAATAATAGAGTTTCACAATGAAGTGACTGGCAACTTCCGCAATCAAATTCCTCTCAGCTCTCACATGTTCAACCTATATTATATGCACAATCTGTGAATCTAGAGAAATGAAACAAGTAGCAAAACTACACGAGAGAGAAAGAGAGATTTTACAGCATCATGAAAAATGTAGAAAGAAAAATGGAAACGGATAGAAATGAAACGTTCATAAAAGAACTGGAACTTTGAATTTTCAAGTATTGTCTATGAAAATGGATTGTCATGTCTCAACCAATATAACAGAACCGAAGCATCTAAAGTAAGTTTATTTTGAACATATTTAATCAGCTTTTCTAGCTGAGTGTGATCCTACCACAAGGTTAGCAATGTTGCAACATGTTCAAATTCACATTAGACACCAAAAGTTCTACCGTCACCTATCTTAGTTATCACTATCTCTAGCATTACATACACAGCAGTACATGAATGCTATTGCTTTCGGCCAGTTGTTTTAACGTTTAAAAGTCTGATTTCTAGTGGCACGGGTTCTGTAATTATTATTTTTCTTTCCATTTTAACAGAATGTTTTTTGCTGTTCTTGAAATCTTTTTGCTAATGTCATGCAAGTTACTACACAACTTGATGGTTCTTGCAGTAAAAGAGGGACAAAGACAGAAAGGATATTCTATGAACGCTATGAAAACTGTTTGTAGTTCTAACCTCTCCAAATGCTCCTCTTCCGATAATGGTTAAAAGATGAAAATCATCAACACAAATCTTGTGCATTTTAAGCCGCATATAGTATGATTCTTTGCGCTTCAACTCCTTTAGCAGAAATATTTGCTCCTCTTGTGGAACATCTGAAGATGCCAACTGCATTTTCAAAATCAAACGCCTGCAATTTTCCCAGGATATATCAAAGTCAAAACTCTTACAGTTATCCTCTTCTCAATCGCAACTGAAAATGCCCAAAACAAGATCTTCGTGAAAGAAACATCCAAAGATTAAAAGGACTCGAGTCGATGCCGTGCAAAAACATTCAACGAATGAATCATATAGACATAATTAACATGCAATGTATATATATATTCATGAAATATTCTCACTATACCTTTCTTCGCGATCTTGGATATGTTTCATATGGGCTTTATAGTGGCTTTCAATGAACTGCTTGGCTGCAGCCACCCTTTCAGGCATCAAGCTGGTCACACCATCCCATTCCTCCTGCTCTTCGTCCGACACCTCTTCTTCTTTCATCTCCTCCCCTTGATTCTCCATTGTTATACCTCTCGATCCCTTTCTCTCGCTCTTCTCTTTCCCCTTGTAAACGAAATAAGAACTCTTTTTATATTTATTTTCGTTTATGGTTTTTGATGATCGTGACAACGAAGAAGGCCAAGAGGGGGGCCTCGGGTTATTACATGTAGAGACAGTAAAACCTGAAGGAAAAAAAACAAAAATAACAAAGCTTTGGCTCTGCCTCTTCATTTCAATTTAACAACCCAGATTCCTTTTCCCGACACGTGGTGAATTTCCATTGGTTTTGGCCCCACAAACTCAATGCTTCTGACACGTAGGATTTTATAAGCGTGGACCAGCGTTTAGTAGTAAAAGTTGAGAAATGAACGGGCTTCGATTGTCGAGTTAGATGGGACCCTTTGCTAGCTGATCAACGATCAGGAAAAAACGAGGCACATCAAACTGTGTACCGGTGTTCGTACCTGATCATATCACGATGACTTCTATTTTTATCGGTGAAAGAGACGACCTACTGAATAACTGAAATGCTGTACTTAGGCAATGGATTCTGTGTGAAGCTAGCGTCGTACTGGCACCAAAATTATGATGATAATAATTACTACTCCTTAAGCTAAAATAATAAATATCATAAACATAACATGATCGCTTGGAAGATTATTTTGGACATACTTCCTACTAAAGTTAGACTATAACATATAAGTATTGTTATTGATGGTTTATGTGTTTTATGTAACAAGTCTCAGGAAACGAGAGATCACATGTTCATAGAATGCCCACTAGCAAGCTCTGGAAGGAAATCTTACTACTAACCGACTTGCGGAGATCTTCATTGTCTTGGGATAAACTATTGTCCTGGGCATGTGGCATTTGGATAGGTAATTCCCTCCTAATAAATATTTTGAAACTTGCATGGAATGCATTTATTTATTTTCTTTAGGAGGAAAGAAACAAAAGGCTATTCTAAAGAAACTCAAGAACAATTGATAAAATTCTTAAAGATATAAAAGAATTTATTAGTATTCAACTAAGAGATAAGAAAATTAATAGAATAGATAAAGTTAATATTTCTCTTTGTATTCAATGGGATATTGAGTAACCTTATTTTTTTTTATTTTAATATTTTTTTAATAAAATTGTCGTTATTCATCCTTTTAATCCACAACTTTTGTTTTGGTACTATAATACTGACTACGGAAAAAGAAAAGGCAAAGTCATGTACTATGCTATAGGACCATAATGAATAGATTAATTTGATTGGAACATACTTTGTGTTCACATCACATCATCAATTTGTCTTGTCTGAAAAAATAACATGCTACACCATCCAATCCTGCATTTGGCATCTCACCTCTTTTGTATTTTTTATCACATCTTTTGTACGATCCTGTAATACAATATATATTCATAATTTTTCTTAGCGAATGATAATACACGTGATAAAACATTGTTAATTTCAAGGAAAAAGAACCATGACGTTGACAGATAACTGTATATACCTATACATATTACGATTCCAGGCATATTTCTCACTATAATCGTACTGGTTGCTTCCAGCATGTTTCTTACTATAAATCTTATAATGTTTTGGTCTAACATTCAAAGGCTTTATTGTTGTCTTAATCCTTATCATCTAACCCAATTATTCTAACCGAACCTATTGTAGGCCTGCTGGAAACGATGTCCGGTTATTTAGGTTGGGCCTAATTTAAGTTCAAAGCACGTTTGGACCTTGGGATGGCATGCTTTGATGTTTTCAAATTGATTTTTTTGGCCCATTAGGGCAACCGGGTTTTTATTTTAAGATCTACGTTATTTTTTACAATGTTCATGAATCTTGTAACGTCGAGGTGATGAGTATTTTTTATTTAAATTCATCACCTCAAGGTAATGAGTTCTAATAAAATATAATTTTTATTAAAATTTATCACATCGAAATATAATAAAAAAATATTTTTATTCGAACTCGTCACTTTAACATGAAAAAATATCATAGATCTCAAAATAAAAGTGTAGCGTCCTATATTGGGCAGAAAAGCCTTTGTTTCTTTATCTATTAGTTAATCGAATTCAAAACTATTCCAGGAATGATTTTTATATACATAGAAGCTAGCAGCCACAAATTTATTTTCCCAAAACATTAAACAAACTTTATTCAAATCTCCTTCATGGATTACAATACTTTTAACTATTTCAGCAGTGATACATTCCTACTAAGAAAGCGGAATACTCGGAAGCTCTGCAGAAACGAGCTTCGATATAACTTGATCAAACCCGGCGTTTGGTAGGCGAAGGTTCAAACTCTTCAATGAACCGAGTGAATCCATCCAAGTAATTATTACTTAACTTTTCATTGCCAAATATCTCTCTCATTGCCCACGCATTTGCCCTGATCATCTCACCTTCTGGCTCGACCATCACCCGTCTGATAGTCGCAGCCACTGAGTCGCTTGTAAATGAACCGTCCAACTCATTCCTCTCTATTTCTATCCCAACTTTCCTCCCATGCAACAACCGAGCGTTCATCCCCTGATCCGCACTTGCCCCAGAAAACGCTATCAGAGCCCGCCCGAACTTGAGTCCCTCGGTTATTGAACTCCAACTACAGTGAGTTAAGAAACCCCCGACGGAAGAGTGAGCTAATATCCGTAACTGGGGCGCCCAACCCCACAACACCAAGCCCTTGTTAGACACTCGTTCCTCGAACCCTGGAGGGATTATGTCCTGCAGGTGATTATCATCCATCTGGGCTTCGGCCATCGGGCGTTTCCTTACGACCCAAATGAACGGTAAGTTGGATTTCTCTATCCCAAAGGCCAACTGGTGCATGGACTCTTCACTTAGATTCACTTCACTACCAAGGGCGATATAGAAAACTGACTTGTCTCTTTTGGTATCAAGCCAACTTTTCACAGCTTCCCATTTATCGTCTCCTTCATCGTCATTCGATGGCAGCGATGGAGGCAACAACCCTACTGGAACGACAGGTTTCTGGTAAAGCTTAATGAGCAATTTAATCTCGTCTGGTTCGAACTCGAAGCAGGCGCGCAAAGTTACAAATTGGGAACCTTGAACCAAGAGTCCCACCCGTTGGAAATCAGATACATCGTCCATGCATTGTTGGTGGTTCACTATCTCATAGCGCTTCAAAGCTACGTTGCAAGGATAATCTACCCACTCGGGGACGACTGTGAAGTCTTCCGGCCGTTTTCGACCACCACCGAGCAAAGCTGATGGTGGACCCAGGAAAACCATCGCACTGGCATTGAATAAGCATAACAAAACCGAGTTGATGCCGAGTGGAGCTGTAATTCCAGGTAACCAGTAAGGCTCAAAGTCATGGATTATCCAGTTGACGTTTGAATCCTTGAGAAACTCGGTTAAAGGGACTTGGAGCTTGTCATACGCTTTCTTAAGGTAAGGAACTTTGTCGATTGGTACCTCGGATGTCGACTCAGCTTCTGGAGGTAAGCCATGAACATGGGGAAGAGAAAACTGGACGAAACTTATGTTAGAGGAGAGATGTGGGGGGAGTTTAGGGAGGCGACCGATGTTTTTAGGGGTGGATATATAGGATATTCGATGACCCTTTTGGACTAAGAATTTGGAAACCTCGAGAAATGGCATTGTATGACCATAAGCTAGCCATGGGAACATCGCTATGTGAAGCTTTTTCGTTCCGTCCATTATGTTTCCTTGATGCAGGTATATTATTGATGAAGCTTGAGCATTTTTATAGACGGTCATCCTTATCAAAGAGGGTTTTTTTTTTTAATATAAATCTGCTCTATGTTGTAAAGAAGCATAGTTAATAAGGGTGAACAAAACTCGATTCGAAAAAATTTCAAGTTCAAATCGAATTGTAAAATACAACTCGAATAACTCGAAATTTTTAGTAATTAGTAGATTTATTTTCAAGTTTGAGTCGAGTATTTCAACTTTGTATGAGATATGTATATCAAATATGAAAAAATACGAAGAAATATATTTGTATTATATATATGGTTATAGTAAGTTACTTAAATTAGAACAAAATAATATTAAAAATATTTACAATTAAAATTAAACAAAAACTCGAAAAATCGACTAGACTCGAAAAAATTTCAAGTCAACTTGAATAACTCGAAATTTTTTGACTCTACTCAACTCGACTAGATCGAACGCTCACCCCTAATTGTTAAAATCATAATAAATTAAATAAAATTATCACATCAAAATAATACTATAGTTAAATTTGGATTAATATAATAGAGTACATGTATGCAAAAAATTCTAACATGAGAATGAACTTTTGTTGGTCTCAACTAAAATTAAAAATACAAATATTAAACAAAAATATATTAAGATACATATGATTAAAAAACATAAATATTATAATAATAACAAAATAATCCCTTATACATGAAAAATAATACTAATGAGAACATATTTTGTTTTAGCATTTTATAAGAAATAAAGTTAATGAATATAACAATAGTATTAATAGATTAATGGTAACTATTTTACAAATCTATCATACCTTAAAACTACTTCTGATTTTTCATAGTTGCCCATCAATTAAATGATAACTTCAGTAAATAATTATAAAATACACCACTATAAGTGAAGATGGGTTAAGATCTCCAATAATGACCATTTGTTTACTTCTATTGGTTCTAACTTTAATAATTGTACTATTCGACACATAGATAAATATAGATGATGTTAACATTTAGGATAAACTATATTAGATATTACCAAACTTTAGTCATTGTATCGTTTATATTATTAAACTTTTAATTTTGTCAATTACAACATAAAATTTTCATTTTCGTTTCAATTATATCATTGAACCGTTAAGTCGTTAATGACACGATGACATAACTGACGGCTTTCGATATAGACACATCACCAAAACGATGTCATTTCAATCTAGTTGTTACCGATTTGACGTATTGGTTGTATATTTGAAACGAAAATCAAAGTTTAATGCAATAATTGACTAAATTAAAAGTTCATTGGTATAAACAATATAACGTCTAAATCGGTGGTAACTAGTGTAATTTAACCTAAAATTTAATAAAAAAAAATTATTAAGGATGATTTTTTTTGACAATTTATGATATAATCATGTGTGTTTAGTTATGTTTTATTTACATATTTTTCATAAGAAATAATTTATGTTATAAAAGTTTTGGTATGTTCTTACATTTATTTAGTATTTGTTTTATCTTCTTACGTGTTACATTCCTATTAATTCTTAAATATTTTTGGATACATTGGATCTTTCATTTACCTTTAATATAAATAAATATTGATACATTGAATCTTTCATTCGTGTAAATCCATTTACTCCTATAAAACTATTTTAAAGTATGGGCCAATTGCTTTGCTTTTGTCCGGTTCTTAGTGTCACTAATTTATAATTTCTTGTCGGTTGGTTTAGCCGCCTATGGAGTATAGTGGGGGAGGAAGAAGGGAGGAGAGAAAATCGGAGAGGTAAATTTGAACTTATAGACTCTTACGGGGATGAATATAGATTTTTAATAGAAAATACATAAAAAAATTTAAAATATATGGTAATTTTAGATTTTTAAGAGGCGACCACCCCGCCTAGGTCTATCCCTGTATACAAGAGTAGGATTCAATTATATTATATAAAAATCTTTTAGTTTTACATTTTTTTTAGATCATTGGAGGAAAGAAATTAAATGTTGAGATTAACAGTAGAAAATAAGAAAATATTCACTGGAAAAAAAAGTAATAGAGTTAATTTTAACATTTGATTTCTCTCAATCCAACAATCCTATAAAGGTATAAAACTAAAAGAGTTTTACACGGTGTAAATGGATATTAACCCATTAGCATAATATAAAGAGAAAATCGCCTCAGTGACCAAAAAAAAGTTATAATATACGATTTTAACCAACTTTTTTTGGATTTGCCAAAATGACCAACAAAATCGCAACGCGAAATAAAAATCGCAACGCGATCCCCAGAATCGCAAATCAGTTTCCAGAATCGCAAATCAGTTTCCAAAATCGCAACGCGATTCTTGAAAATCGCGATGCGATAGTACAAATTCGCATTGCGATTTTCCATAATCGCAACGCGAATATGAAAATCGCAACGCGAACACATAAATCGCAACGCGTATCCGTAAATCGCAACGTGTATCCGTAAATCGCAACGCGTATGGGTAAATCGCAATGCGTATCCGTATATCGCAACGCGTATCCGTAAATCGCAACGATAATACATAAAATCGCAACGCGTATCCGTAAATCGCAACGCGATATTTAAAGCGCCATTATAATCGCTACGCGTATTTTATTTTCAAATTACAAAAAGAATATTAAGACAAAATCCCGTAATCGCAACTCATAACCTAAACCTAAAATCACAACTCAGTCCCATCTCCATCTCTCACTCTCTACGGCGAAGAAATCCGTCCCCATCTCCGAAGATTTCCGTCCCATCTCCGGCGAAATCCCTCACAACCATTCACGGTCAGAAATCCCTCACAATATTCAGAAATGGAAATCAACCTCCGAGGGTTAGTTTTTTTAATTATTTTTATTTTGAAATGTTTGCATTATTGTAGGTTTTTCATATTGAAACTGATGATAAGTTTACTGGTCATTTCAATAATAGATTAACCATTTCACTTAGATTTCATTTCGCGTTACGATTCTGTCGTTGCGATTTTCATTTCGCGTTGCTATTCTCTCGTTGCGATTTTCAAGTTAGTATTTGTCTTTGTCTTTGTTCTGTCTTTTGGTTGAAGTAATGCAATCCATTCAAGTTTCAATTTGCAGAAGAGTCGCAACGAGATAAATGAAAATCGCAACGAGAGAATGACTGTCGCAACGAGAGAATCGCAACGCGAAATGGAAATCGCAACGAGAGAATCGCAACGCGAAACCAAAATCGCATTGCGATTTTCATTTCGCGTTGCGATTCTCTCGTTGCGATTTTCATTTCGCGTTGCGATTCTCTCGTTGCGATTGTCATCTCGCGTTGCGATTCTCTCGTTGCGATTTTCATTTCAACCAAAAGACAAAACAGTGTTGCAAATTTTAGTTTAAAGAATAAACTACTACTTTTTATGTTTATTGTTTTTGGTATATCTTCACAGTGTAGTTTTTGGTATATCTAACTTGGTATGTTTATTGTTTTTGTAGAAATTTTTTCGGCTCAATTGACCTTGAGAAATAAAGTCAGCCTGGCCACTACAATTGCAAAGAAGCTTTCACCTGCTCAAAGACAATTGTTTGAGGAAACCTGCTTCGGGCCATGGCTGAGAGTACATCATCCGGGTGAGATGCTAATTTGACCCATTTGTGGCTTCAGACCATGACATCAAATCTACCCGACAGTATACAACGTGGTGAGGAAGAGATATGGTTTCATTTTCCACCAGCGTATACTTGCTTTGGGCGGAAGGAGTTCTGCTTAATCACTGGTCTACGATTCGGACACGATGATGTAGGCCGGTACACTCGTCATATCGCCCGCCCATCATGGTTATCCCGGGTTTTTCCGGATGAGTCAATGGAGAAGCCGAACCTACATGTCGACGACCTGAAGAAATTATTTAATAAGAAAGCTGGTTTCACTCGGATGGAAGACGTCGATGTTGTCCGAGTATGCCTTCTACTACTTGTGTATGCCGGCTTTTTAGGCAGAGAGGCCAGACAACCTATTCATCGGGAGCTAATAATATTGGTAGAGGACCTGAATGCATGGAATCTGTTTCCGTGGGGTTCGTATATATGGAAAGCTACCTGGACTAAGTTGTCGTCTGCCTTTGATGACCGCAAAAGTTTGCGGGGCGATGGGTCCAAATACACTTTGTCAGGCTTTGTTTGGGCCTTTAAGGTAAGAATTTCTATATAATGTTTCTAAAATTATAATTATTTAACAATTACTAATTTTGTTATTATATTGTTTGTAGATTTGGATATTCGAGGCTTTCCCCAGCATGCGTACATATGCAATAAAAACGTCAAATGATATTCCCAGGGCTATTTCCTGGAAGAGGAAAACTCTGTTGGATTGGGAAGACTTAATACCATATGCCACAATAAATAATGTAAGTTAACACAAATACTTTCATATAATATATAAACAAGTTATTAATAGTAGACGTTTAACTTTGTTTGAGTTTTTATATTTTAGGAGGCCAACATTCCATTACAAAGACTGACACCCACGGAGGAAGAGCTTGCCACTGATTGGTGGCAAGCTAGTCAGAATTTTTTTGATGGCACGGATGATGAGCAGCATCCACTTCCTCCAATTCGAGAGCCATCACCTCACCTAGAGCCATCACCCGATCGACCCGACTATACATCTCTAGAACGAGAGCCATCACCTATCCCGTCACATCATCGAGCCTCTTCTCCACCATCACCTCATGATAGGCGACCGGCAAAGATGCCACGACTCCTATCTCCTGTTCTCCACCTCCACCTCAACGGGATGAGTCAGGGGAGTTACGTGATGAGGTCAATGCCTTGCGTGAGGAGATCGGTACTCTACGCGATAACGATGGTGCATGGCGTGTGGAGGTGTCAACTTTACGTGGTGAGGTTGCCGCTCTACGTGAGATGATAGTATCGTTGCAGAATGAGGTTCATACTCTACGCAACGAGGTAAGTTTAAGATTTTCCATATTTAACTTAATGATAAATTTACTCGTAATTTCACTT